CAGCTGGGCATGGTGGCGTGTGCCTGTAATCCCAGCTACTCAGGAGGCTGAGGCAGGAGAATTGCCTGAACCCAGGAGGCGGAGGTTGCGGTGAGCCGAGATCGCGCCATTGCACTCCAGCCTGGGTAACAAGAGCGAAACTCCGTCTCAAAAAAAAAAAAAAAAAAAAAAAAAAGAAATGCTTGTCCTAAATCTATTGATGAGGAAATTATCAGACAAATCTAAATTAAGGGAGAAATATTCTGCAAAGCAAATGTTTCAGTCACTGAAAGTACTAATATCACAAGAAAAAAATCATAAAACGTGGAGGGGCTGGGCGCGGTGGCTCATGCCTGTAATCCCAGCACTTTGGGAGGCTGAGGTGGGCAGATCATGAGGTCAGAAGATCAAGACCATCCTGGCCAACATGGTGAAACTCTGTCTCTACAAAATACACACACACACACACACACACACACACACACACACACACACACACACACAAATTAGCCAAGCATGGTGGGGCAAGCCTGTAGTCCCAGCTACTTGGGAGACCGAGGGAGGGGAATCACTTGAACTTGGGTGGTGGAGGTTGCAGTAAGCCGAGATTGCACCACTGTACTCCAGCTTGGCAACAGAGTAAGACTTTGTCTAAAAAAAAAAAAAACCATGGAGGAGGAACTATTCTACACCAAAGAAGAATAGAGACATGAGAGCTTAATGCACTGTATAAACCTTGACTGGGTCCTGGATTTAGGAAATATAAGCAATTCTAAACATGAACTATATGTTAGACAATAGTCTTTGTAAGTGTTAAATTCCATGATGGTGATAAATTTGTGATTATATAGGAGAATGCTGTTGTTAGGAGATTCATAATGAAATATTCTAAGTGATGTGTTATGTCTGCAATTCATTCTCAAATCATTTAGCAGAAATATGTATATTCACATATATAATAGCTACATATAATGGATTGAGGATCAATATCTGTATATTTTTAAAACTTCTGCAATGAAAAAGAAGAAATGGGCCAAGTGTAGTGGTTCACACCTGTAATCCCAGTACTTTTGGAGGCCAAGGCAGGTGGGCCACCTGAGGTCAGAAGTTTTACAGCAGCCTAGCCAACAGGGCAAAACCCCATCTCTACTAAAAATACAAAAATTCCAGGGGTGGTGGCACACACCTGTAATCCCAGTTACTCAGGGATGCTGAGGCAGGAGAATTGCTTGAACCCAGGAGGCGGAGGTTGCAGTGAGCTGAGATTACACCACTGCACTCCAGCCTAGGCAACGGAGCGAGACTCTATCTCAGGAAAAAAAAAAAAAAAGAAAGAAAGAAAAAATGGGTACATAAGTCATCCAAAGAAGAAGAAACACTAGTCACCAAGAAAACGGAAACAGTAAAAGAGGCATGCAAACCAAACAATTTCACATCTATTAGAATACCTTTCTATGATTATACAGAACAACTGGAACCCAAACACCCTGCTGAAGGGAGTGGAATGACTTTTAAAGATTATTTGATGAATCTTAGCACAGGAAATGCAAGAAATTGTATGAGCCAGTGTATTAGTCTGTCCTCACACTCCTATGAAGGAATACTTGAGATTCAGTAATTTATAAAGAAAAGAGATTTAATTGACTCACAGTTCCGCATGGCTGGGGACTCCTCAGGAAACTTATAATCAAGGCGAAACACACCTCTCAACAGGGCAGCAGGAGAAATGCCAGATGCTTATAAAACCATCAGATCTCATGAGAACTCACTTCTGTCACAAGAACAGCATTGGGGAAAACCATGATTGAATTACCTTTCACAAGGTCTTTCACAAGGTCCTCCCAGGACGCATGGGGATTATGGGATTACAGTTCAAGATGAGATTTGGGTGGGGACACAAAGCCAAACCATATCAGCCAGTGTGATGATTAATACTGAGTGAAACCTTGATTGAAGGAAGCAAAGTATTGATCCTGGGTGTGTCTGTGAGGGTGTTGCCAAAGGAGATTAGCATTTAAGTCAGTGGGCTGGGAAAGGCAGACCCACCCTTAATCTGAGTGGGTACCATCTAATAAGCTGCCATTGTGGCTAACCACCCATCCTATGTCTCTCCGTCCTGGATGCTTCCTACCCTCAACATCAGACTCCAAATTCTTTAGTTTTGGGACTCAAACTGGCTTTCCTTCCTCCTCAGCGTGCCGACAGCCTATTGTGGGACCTTGTGATCACGTGAGTTAATAAGTTCTCATATTTATCTTTCTCTCTCTCCTATTAGTTATGTCCCTCTAGAGAACCCTAATACAGCCAGCGATTCCATTCCTAAGTATATGCCCTAGAGAAATTCACATACATACACCAAGAGTCATATACAAAAAGTTCACAGCACTCTATAACGGTAAGCCATTGGAAAAGTGACTTATTTTCATGCTATGGAATCATAAACAGAAATGAAAACCAGCTAACTAAGTACAGTATACATATCAATTTGAACGAACTTACAAACTTAGGAACAGGGTTGAGTAGAAAAAGGTTGAAGAATTACATTGTACGTAATCAATGATATAATGTTTAAAAGCTTGCAAAAAATACTATGTATTTCTTAAGGAGACCTACACAGAAATAGAAAGAAATGCTCAGGAATAATAAACACTAAATTTAGGATACTGGATACATCTTTGGGAAAGAAAGGTGTTGCAATATGGGAGATGTACAGGTAGTTTCAACTGTGTTGTTTTTCTTAAACTGCTAATAGATGCCCATGTAGTCATGTTAATTTACACACAAGGAACTATTGAGTGCCCATGCACTGCTGTAGACCCGAGATAACTTTGGAGAAGAAACAAAAAAATTTCTGCCCCTGGAACTTGCATTCTAGTAAATGTTAGATATTATATATCGTTGTGTATATCTTAAATGTTTCACTATAAAAATCTAGGGCCGGGCGCGGTGGCTCAAGCCTGTAATCCCAGCACTTTGGGAGGCCGAGGCGGGTGGATCACGAGGTCAAGAGATCGAGACCATCCTGGTCAATGTGGTGAAACCCTGTCTCTACTAAAAATACAAAACATTAGCTGGGCATGGTGGCGCGTGCCTGTAATCCCAGCTACTCAGGAAGCTGAGGCAGGAGAATTGCCTGAACCCAGGAGGTGGACGTTGCAGTGAGCCGAGATCACACCATTGCACTCCAGTCTGGGTAACAAGAGCGAAACTCCGTCTCAAAAAAAAAAAAAAAAAAAAAATCTAAATAATTTTTAAGGGAATCACAAATATGGATGGTGAAACCTCAATCTAAAGATGATAAAGGGCAGGACACAGTGGCTCATGCCTGTAATCCCAGCACTTCGGGAGGCTGATGTGTGTGGATGGCCTGAGCTTAGGAGTTTGAGATCAGCCTGGACACATAGCAAAAACCTGTCTCAAGCAAAAATCGAAATAAATAAATTCTGGGCATGGTGGTGTGTGCCTGTGGTCCCAGCTACTCAGGAGGCTGAGGTGAGGGGATTGCTTGAGCCTGAGGCACAGGTTGCAGTGAGCGGAGATCACACCACGGCACTGTAGTCTGGGTGACAGAGTGAGACCCCTTCAAAAAAAAAAAAAAAAAAAGGTAAAGTAAGCAACCAGGCTATAGAAAAACCCTTTGTCCAAGTAAACTGGGAGATCTTTGAAACTTTGAAACTGCTAACTACAAAACATAATTTAAAAGTTCAAGGCATAGGCAGGAGGGAGATAGCAATGTTTTAGAAACTAATTGAGCAGTTTAACTTCAAATTACGTTTTAAAACTTTCTTCCTTTCTCTTGGGTTTCAAGATATAACCGTGAAGCAAACTGTAAATGCCTTTTCCCTTAGTCTTAAAATAGACCCCACATCCCTCCCTTTCTCACTGTATATATTCCCTTCACATTTATCTTACTGTATGGTAGTATTTATCTGCCTTCTTAGAAGTTCCAAGGGCTAATCTTGAGATAGACAAACCAAGCCTAGAGACCTAACTGCAGAATTCCGAAGATTACTTCAAGGTGGCTTGTCAACAGCGGGGCCATTCTGGAGATGAGACTAGCCCATGCTCCAGGTGGGCTGGGACCCAAGACAGGCACCAGAACAAGACACGCAGATGTTGTACTCTGCGTAATTCTTGCATGCTTTCCGTATCAAATTTTCCTTTTAAGACCTTCTCTTCCCCACCAAAATCTAAGCGGTTACTTTAGATGGGAATCAGGCCACTTCCCCATTACTCCTCACTCGGTTTTTTTTGTTTTGGTTTGAGACAGGGTCTCATTGTGTCACCTGGGTTGGAGTGCAGTTGACAGCTCATTGCAGCCTGGACCTCCCGGGCTAAAGCGATTCTCCTTCCTCAGCCTTTCCAGTATCTGGGACTACAGGTACGCGCCACTGCATCCAGCTAATTATTGTTATTTTTTGTAGAGACAGGGTTTCGCCGTGTTGCCCAGACTGGTCTCAGACTCCTGAGTTCAATCTCTTGTTAACTGCACTCTGCAAGCTGCAGGGAGAAATCTGCGCTCCTTACAAAACTAGACTAAAGCATATTTACTGATACTAAAGAGGTTGGTTTTGTATTTCCCTGGGCAAATTATTTTCTCTGAGCCTCCATTCTTCTAGAGACATGTCCATCTTGCAGGATTGAGAACTGGATAAGCTTCATTATGAAAAGTAATTGGCACAGCCTGGCAGAAAACGAGCACACTCCATTTCTCTCCTTAATACACCCCACGCCATTTGATTGTGCATAAGGGTAGGTGAGAATTTAGTGTTAACTTTCTCAAGTATTTAAGATGTGCAGCGAGTTCTGCCTGTCTGAAGTTTTCAACGGACAGGAAAAGAATACTTTAAGGTGCTGAATTATTAAGAAAAATGTGGTGGGCCCCATTTCCATTTCCCCAGATTTAAAGGACACGGGCAAGCAGGCGAGCCCCGCCCCTGTCTCGCTTCTAGGGCGGAGCTTGGACCGGCCCCGCCCCTCACCCGGTGGGGCGGGGCGGGGCGGGGCGGGGCGGGGCGAGGGCTGGAAGTGGGTTAGGTTCGGCGCGCGAATGCCCAGCGCCTCGGGCTGAGTGAAGGAGGAGGTTCGTCAGAGAGGCTGCCAGCGGGCGAAGTCTGGGCCGAGCGACCTCATTTGCGCCAGCCGGTGGACGCCCCGGCGGAACTGCCCCGCGCTGCTGTCCCGCGCTACCTGCCCGAAGGCGCCTGCGCGCTGAGAACCCCGCCCTGATATCACCTGTCGGAGCCCCAGGCCCGCGTAGCCGTGCACATGCGCACTGCCAGCCGCCGGCCAGTGGGGTCACGTGTTGCGCGCGAGCCGCCTCCCCGGCGGGCGCTTCCTGTCGCTACCGGGGCGGCCCAGGGCCCACGGGAGCCCAGGGCGGTGCCGGGTGGGAGAAGGCCGGGGTTTGGCTCGGATCCACCGCGAGGTATGCCGCGTCCCCACCCCTTGGCGTGGGGAGCTCTGTGGACCGCGGGGGAGATAGAGGCGGCGTGGGCAGGGCAGGGCGGCGCGCCCCGCGGCGGGGGAGTGGGGGTCCGGTGTCGCCTCCCGCTACGGACTCCGCGTCCCACCTCTCCTGAGGCCTGGCTCTGGCATCTGGGCCGCAGCCTTGGAGTGTCTGACCCGCCTCGCTTTCACCTGTGCAGGGGTCACTTCCGGGGCCGTGCGGCTCCCCCGAGTTCCGAAATCGGACCCTCGGAGTTCCCCAGCGCCCGCCCGCCCGGCCGCGCACCCGCGTCCAGTCAGCTCCTCCGCCCGCTTCCCGCCGCCGGCCAGCCGGCCTGGGCTGTGGCGAGATGCGCCGGCTTCCTGCCTCCTCCCCCTGCTTCCTGTGCACCTTCGCTTTGCTGCCAGAGTCGGGTGTCTGAAACACCGATACCATCCCGCCACTTCTTTCCCAGCGCCTTCAGAATAATGCCCAAACTCCTTTCGGCTTAGAGGTTTTCCTGTTGTGCCGCTTGCTCACATTCCTACCCCGGCTTGTGTATTCGGGCCTCACCGCTTATCCCCGTCATACCAGGCCTCAGGTGTCCTTGCGCAGGCCAAGTTGGTCCCCACCTCAGAGCCATCAGGTGTTCCCTCGGCTTGGAATTCTAGTCCCCTCCTTCCCCCAGCTCCTTTGCGTGACTCAGCCCAGGCGTCACCGCCTCGAAGTCCCTTTTCTCCCAGTGCTGAAGAAGGGGCAGCTCAGGTCACCCGTGGCCCTTGGGACAAGCCCGTGTAGTCCTCCTCCACCATCCATGTAAATGGTCCTTGAGGGCTGAGACCGTGTTAGATTCGTTTCTGCACTCCCAGTGCCCAGCACAGGGTCTGACACAGGAGGTCCTGTGAATGACTGAGATCTTTATGGGAATCAGAATGCTGAGCCAGCTTTCTCCAGAGTACAGCTGTGAGATGGAGCTTTGATGAAATGTCTTTGGATGATGAGAATGTTCTGTGTCTGCGCTGTCTGGTGGTAGCCCCTCACCACATATGGCTGTTAAACACTTGGAATGTGTCTTGTGGCTGAGGGACTGGATTTTTAGCTTTATTTCATTTTAAATCATTGAAATTTAAAATTAAATAGCCACCTATGGCTTCATAACAGCACAGTTTTGGAGCCTTTCTGAATTCTACGCAGCCTTCCACCCACCCTGAACCTAGAGTTACTTCCCTGAATGTGCTTTTTAAATTTGAGTTCATTCAGAACACTCCCCAGTAAACCCATTAACAGTGATCCCCATCCCTCCGATGGCCTGGGCTGCTTCACTGCTTTCATTAAAAATAACCCATCCTTTGGTGTTCAGCATTGCCTTCTTTGGGAGTTTACTATCTGCACCTTACCACAAACAGCACTGTTGGCGGCGGTGCTTATGGGCTACTCCAGCCTGAATCTCTGTAACTCTTCCACCAGATAGGTATCTAGGCCTCCACGATGCCAGGGCCAAGACCTCGGAAGGGCCCTCAGGCCAGTGGCCAAGGCGTGGCCACTGCCAAGCAGGTATGGAACTTAGCCTTCTAGGCTCCTGGGTCAGTTTGGGAGTGGGGGTCTCTAGACAGCTTAGGCATACTGGATCACATTTAGTTCCCCATTAGTTCAAAGACTTGGAGCAGTGCCTCCTGGAGGTAGCAGAGTCCTTAGACACCCTCCTTCTGGTCCCTGCCACACACAAGTGGGGAGAGAGTTCAGGAATCTCCAAAGTTTAGAATGTTCTGATGGGAGGGACATCAGTGCTCTCAGATTCCTCAGCTAGCATCACAACTTCACTTGTTAGCTAGGGATGCCAGGGCGTGAGGGCTGTAGTCAGTGGGAAGACTTTACTGCCTAGGGACAGAGATGGCTGTGGCCCAAGTGGAAGAACAGGGTGGTCTCCTCTCCAGTTTTCTTCCTTTATTTCTTCTGGGCCTACGTCTCAAGACTTCTTAGTCCATTTTTAATGTCTTTAAAAAGGCAGGTAAGAAAGGAGGTGAGATAAAGGGCATAGACTCAAGTCACAAAGAGCTTGTTTTAAATTTCAGACTGTCTCAGTTTCATCTGAACATTGGATAAAAATAGGATGTGGGCCAGGTGCGGTGGCTCACACCTGTAATCCAGCACTTTGGGAGGCCGAGGCTGGTGGATCACCTGAGGTCAGGAGTTTGAGACCAGCCTGGCCAATATGGTGAAACCTTGTCTCTACTAAAAATACAAAATTACCCAGGTGTGGTGGCATGTGCCTGTAGTCCCAGCTACTTAGGAGGCCGAGGCAGGAGAATCCCTTGAACCCAGGAGGCGGAGGTTGCAGTGAGCCAAGATAGTGCCACTGTACTCCAGCTTTGGTGACAGAGCAAGACTCTGTCTTAAAAACAAAAAACAAAAAACACAGGATGTACCTCTACCTAGAGTAGTCAGATTCATAGAAACTGAATGATGGTGCTTACCAGAAGCTGGAAGGAGGGGAGGAAGGGGAGTTAATGTTTAATGGGTAGAAAGTGTGTTTTACAACATGACAAGAGTTCTGTAGATGAATGATGGCAATGGTAGCAGGATAGTGTGAATGTTCTTATACCATTGAACTCACCCTTAACAATGGTTAAGATGTTAAAATTCATGTTGTATGTGTTTTACAGTTTTTAAAAATACGACCTACCCTTCAGAATTGTGAGAATTAACTGGGATAGTTAAGATAATCACATAGAACACTAAGAACAGGGCATGGCAGCTATTGCTGTTAGTACTAATAATGGTAATATGGTCTTACTGGGTTTTTTTGTTGAGTCCCTAGGGAGTTAAGTGTCTCAAGGAGTAATAATGTTGAAGGCCTCAGTTTCTTTTTGCACATTTTGGGCCTCACAGACTGAGGGAGCCACTGATTGGGACATTGAGAGCCCAAGTCTGGCTCTGGAGCTGGGCTCTGCCCTGCTTGTTGTGTGGTACCTAAGAGTCCTACTCTGCTCTCAGCTGGGGCTCTTTGTGGAGTTTGGCCCTGAGGACATGCTGCTGGGCATGGATGAGGCTGAAGATGATGAGGACCTGGAGGCTGAGCTGCTGGCCCTCACAGGGGAAGCACAACCCACGGGCAAGAAGCCAGCACCCAAGGGGCAGGGTGAGTTTGGACACCGCACTGGGCTTGGGGCTGGGACCAGATGGGCACAGGCTGGTGGTAGAGGGGTTCCGTTGCAGCTGGAGGGAGCCAGCCTGATCCCATTGTCCTTCCAGTACCCATGTGCCTTCTGCAGCCTTCTTGCTAAGAGGCAGCCCCGCCCTGCTTCCTCACCTTGTGTCATAGCCTGGGCTGGCCCCTCCTCATTATGGATAAATCAGATTCTCAGACTGACTCAGGTCTCCATCCTTAGCCCTAGCCAGGGTACTGGTGTAGAGTAGGGGCCCAGTTAGCCAGACTGAACTGAGTAAATAGGAAGCACATGGAAATTATGTATAATGAGTAAGTGGAATCTCCCTCCACAGCCCATATGAGAACAGAGACTTTAGGCCTGGGAGGATCAGGAGGTCGAAATCTTCCTCTTTTCACCTGGAACTCTCGAGAGAGAATCCCTCCACTCATCCCCCACCATTCGGTGTGTCCCTGAGCTGAGGATAATGGGAGGACCTGGGAAGGGACTCACTGCTCCTGCTTTGGGGTGGCACAAGACTAGGTTTGAATCCTAGCTCTGCCGCTTAGTAGGATTGCAATGACAGGAAAATTAATGTTGAAAGTTTCTCAGTTTATTTAATATATGAAAAGGGGATATTATCCATCTTGCAGATTTGTTGTGAAGCTCAATTGGACTTTGAAAATCTTTACAGATGTGACAGGTGTGGTTGGAGAAAGTGGATGGCATGTCAGGCTACTGTAGGTGGAGGTGCAGAGAAAGGAGCAGCTCGTTGCTTGGTGGGGGGCCCGGGAAGGTTTCCCTCCTGAGGGTCTTTTGAACTGGGTCTTATAAGGAAGGGCAGTTTTCCATGTGGGACTCTGCTGTGGGAGGGACGGGGGATTTCTGCCTGGGTGGATCTACCAAGCCCCTCCATTACTGATCCCAGACCTTATCTGAGTTGTGCTGACCTGCCGTGACCTTCTTCCCCCAGCCCCCCTGCCCATGGCCCACATTGAGAAGTTGGCAGCAGACTGTATGCAGGATGTGGAGGATGTGGAGGAGGAGGAGGAGGAGGAGGAGGAGGAAGGGCTGGAGGAAGATGCAGAGCTGCTGGTGCGTCTGCCAGGCTGGTATCCCAGGGCCCTGTGGCAAGCTCAGGCCTGGCAGAGGAGAGAGCAGTGGAGAGGAGGGCGGCGGTGCCCCTCTGTTCTCTGACTCTGAATGAGGGCCTGCCCCTCCTGGCTGTACAGTGGGCAGCATGTCTCTTTGACCTCTGGTCTAAGCTCTGCAGTTGGGGATTCGCAGATTTGGAGTCATTACTGTTTTCAAGGCTATCCTCAGTCAGATTAAAGAAATGTTTTGGTGAAGGGGACTCAGGCACAGTGACTAATGTTGGGCAATATTGCTGGGAAAGAGGGTCCTTTGCTCTCAGGTTGTGTTGTGGGTACTGTCTTGAGGCCCACAAGCTCTGGGCTGTGTTTTGTCTCCCTAGACGGAGCTACAGGAGGTCTTAGGTGTGGAAGAGGAGACTGAGCCCCTGGATGGTGATGAGGCAGCTGATCCAGGCAGCTCTGAGGAGAAGGGCCTGGAAGACACTGAACCTCCAGTGCAGACAGCCATCCTGACAGCCTCAGCCCCAGCAGCTCAGGTGGGTTCTGGAGGAGGGGCTCTGTGCCTCTGATGCTTCTGTGTGCCCAGATATAATGTGTGTGGCCTGGTCTGCACAGCAAGGCTGCAGTCACCCTTTCCAGGACCCTCCTCCAGCAGCTGCCCCAAGCAGAAACAGCACAAGAAACTCCTCCGTGGCCGCCAGCCTCAAAGGCCTCTCTGTTCTCCCAGACCACCCCCGGAAGCCATTTCCTGGCTTCCACCAATTGGGCCTCTGTATTTGCCTCTGCCATGGCCTATGCCTCTCCAGTGAGCCTTTGCTTCCTTCCTTGAGACTTTTAGGCTCTTCTTTCTCCTGGAGTCCCAGAGCTCCATCTTCTGGGGCAGCTTCTGCACAAGGAGAATGGTAGGCCTAGCAGGCCTTGGAGTAGCCAGGCCCTTAGCTGAATTGTTCATAGGCCGGAGCATCTAAGGGGCTACACAGTTTGCTGGAGGAACGGATTCGCAACTACCGGGAGGCTGCAGCCAGCGCCAAGGAGGCAGGCGAAGCGGCCAAAGCCAGGCGCTGTGACCGTGGCCTGAAGGTGAGTCAGGCCAGGCTGGGAGCAGGGCAGGGGAGGGGGCTGCCTGGAAGGCAGCTGGTGGAGATTGCCCCAGTGGAGGGGAAATTACCCCACTAGACTTTGGGGGTTGGAGGAGCCACCCCTGGCTTGTCTTGGAGCAGGGACTTGGCTGAGATGGCTGGCTGGGTTTCTGGACCAGTTCTCTCCCTCAGACCTTGGAGTCACAGCTAGCCGCTGTGAGAAGAGGCAGAAAGATCAATGAGGATGAGATCCCACCACCAGTGGCCTTAGGAAAGAGGCCCCCGGTCCCTGAGGAACCAGCCAACAGAAGACCTGAGGCAGACCCTCCAGCTCCCCCCGTCTTGGAGTCAGGTATTACAGATGCCCAAATCCTGTCCTAGTTCCCAGGTTTTAGCTCACAGCTGTCTTCCCAGCCTGCCACCATGTTCATTACCATTGGTGACACCCTCCCCAGGATGTTGTCAGGTCAGCGAGGTCTGTGGGCATGTTCTTCTGTGATCCTCATGTGCTCTCTGTGGACTGTTTGTTTTCCTATAGACAACCCCTCCCAACCTGAGACCAGCCTCCCTGGCATTTCTGCCCAGCCCAATTCAGACCCAGACCCTCGGGCCCTACTGTCATCCCGACAGAGAGAGTACCAAGTGGCTGCCCTCAGTGCCAAGCGGGCTGGAGATCTAGACCGTGCCCGAGAGCTCATGAGGATTGGGAAGGTATGGCATCTGGCTCAGGGCTTGTGTCCCACACCTCATTTTATAGATGGGGGAAATTGAGGCTCAGAAAGGGAGCTAGACTGGGCTTGAGTGAGATTGGCTTGAGGGGCGGTTGTTTCAGCTCAGGCTCTTGGGGCCCTCTGGCTTCCACCCACACTTGCTTTTCTGACTTCTGCAGAGATTTGGTGCTGTCCTGGAGGCCCTGGAGAAGGGGCAGCCGGTGGATCTGAGTGCCATGCCCCCGGCACCTGAGGGTCAGTATGGGGACAGTGCAGGGATCTGCTCAGGCTTGGGTGGGATTGGGAAGGAGTACCTATACTTCTGCTCTGGGTCCCCCAGATCTGAATCCCTGGCAGGCTTCTCAGGCCCCCACAGCACCCTCAGTCATTGCCCCAACCGTGGAGCGAGTGCAACCAGTGATGGCCCCTGACGTCCCGGCAACCCCAGGTAGGGCAGGATGGTGGGACTGTGGCGTGGGGACCTGTGGGCATTGCAGGGGCAGGCTGAGCTGATGCCCATTCCTTTCTTCTCCCCTTCAAGTGGCCCCTACAGAGTCACAGACAGTGCTGGATGCCCTGCAACAGAGACTGAACAAGTACTGTGAGGCGGGCCTCCAGGCCCGGAGTGGTGGCGATGAGCGCAAGGCGCGAATGCATGAGCGCATTGCCAAGGTGGGCCTGCAGCTGTGCAGCCCCGGCCCGTGTGGTCTCTTCCCTGGCTGGGTGCTCTGTTTCCCTGGTCTTCTGGCTAGCCCTGTTCTTTTCTGAACCTTCATCTGTCTGTCCCTCTGGGGCTCTTGCTGCCTCAGGGCTCTTTTCTTCTCCCAGGGCTTCTGTCTTTCCACCAGTCTCCCTCTCCTTGCCCTACTGTGTATCATGGTGCGGGGTGGGGGTCGCGGGGGTTGAGGTGCTGTGCGGGTTGCTGCTGACCTCCCTTCCTTCCCTCGTAGCAATATCAAGATGCTATTCGAGCACACCGAGCAGGACGGAAAGTCAACTTTGCTGAGTTGCCTGTTCCTCCAGGTGAGTGGGGCATGGCCTAGGGGCTCTGTTAAGGAGGTGGTCCCTGGGCAAGAAGGGACTGGGGGACGGCGAGTGGGGATGACTTCTCATGCGTGTGCCTTCCTGCTATGGAGCCACCTATCCCAGCCATGCCGCAGCTGAGCCAGGGTAGCTTTGTGCTTCTCTGAGGCTGCTCCCCTGCCCCTCCTTCTTCTGTCTCTCTCCCGCAGGATTTCCCCCCATCCCTGGCCTGGAGCCCACTATGGGTGTTAAGGAGGACACAGTGGCAGCAACATTGGCAGCTGCAGAGAAACTGGCCTCTGCAGAGGATGCAGCCCCGGCTGATGAAGATGAAGATGAGGTTTGGCTGAGGGCTTGACTCCAGGGCTGGTGGGGAGAACAGCAGGTGAGGGGTAAACCCAGACCCTGTTGTCCATACTTAGAAGCCCAGTAAGGTACATATTTTTTCTCCCATTGTATAGAGAAAAAAAACTCACCCAAGGACACCTAGCTAGGAAATAGCAGAGCTAGGATCCAAACCAAGGTCTTTCTGAATCCAGAGCTCTGGCTCTATCCGCATTACCCTACAGTCTTTCTCCTGTTTGGGGAGGCTAGCTGTGAGAGCTTCTGAGGCTGCTTCTAGCTCTCAGATCTTTTAGGACCCAGGAAGAGAAGCTACCCATCTCAGGTTACACAGCGATTTAGTGCAGCATTAGAAAGACAGCCCAAGTCTGGGAGCTGCCATGGCCATGCTAGGGAGTAGATCCCCTCCTAACAGCCTCCCGGGCACCTGCAGGGCGAACCCCCAGCACAGGCCCCAGTGGCCAAGAGACCTGCACGGCCTGCAGTCCCTTCATCCCAGCCCCTGCCTGAGCCCAAGGCCTCAAGTTCTAAGGAGTCACCAAGTCCATCTGGTGAGTTGGGGACAAGCAGGGTGAAGAACTGAGGGCCTGGTGAGGGCAGGTGTGGCCCTAACCAGTGGCCTCCCTTCAGTGCGGGAGCAGCTGGCACTGCTGGAGGCACGGAAACTGCAGTACCAGCGGGCAGCCCTGCAGGCCAAGCGAAGCCAGGACCTGGAGCAGGCCAAAGCCCATCTGCGAGTGGCCAAACGTCTTGAGGCTCAGATCATCCAGGCCCGAGCTGGCAGACCCATTGATCTATCCAAGGTGAGTCCCACCTGGTTAACCACCAGGACTTCTCAGGTGGAGAAGGTTGGGGGCAGGCTTGACAGACTGAACGAAGGCAGCTTCTGGGATGAGGTGGGATTTGGACAGGACATAATGACAGCTGGGAAAGAGCCTTTTGCTTATGCCCCTCTACCTCACAGCCAGGGGAAGGGAAAGTGGGCTGCCCGTTGTCAGAGATGGCAAGGCAAGGTTAGGCCGTGGGAGGCAGAGTGTTATCTTAGGATAGAGTGGGAAGCGATGAGTTGCCATCACTGGAGTTTAGGAGAAGCTGAAGAATTGTTTAGTTTGGATTCATGCCTTTGTTTGACTCGGTAGAGGAGTAATCTGACTCTTGGGGCCCGAGGGGCCTTGTGACCTGGGTAGGTGCCTTCACCCTTGACGGATGAGGAGGGTGACTTCATCCTCATCCACCACGAGGACCTGCGACTCTCCCAGAAGGCCGAGGAGGTGTATGCCCAGCTGCAAAAAATGCTTCTGGAGCAACAAGAGGTCAGCAGGCCCCTCTTCTGTTCCTCCCCTCTGTGCCCACAGCCCCCTGTGGAGGAAGGCCTGGAGCTCAGACCACACGGCTCTGGACTCAGATTCTTAGCTCTTCCACTTACTATGTGACTTGCATAAGGCACTTTCCTCTCTGAACTGCATTTTCCTTATCTATGAGTTGGGATGATAATACCCCTTTTTTGGGGTGGTTATGAGTTCAAACGGTAAGAGTTGAGGGAAAGAAGGCTGTGATGTGTGTGTATGTTTGTTTATGTATCTATCTGAACTGCTGCCTGTTCTGGAAAGTCTGCCTTCTGAGGGGATGTTTGAATTAGGTTTTGACAGAAAGAGTTGCTAATATGAGGAATGGCTGTCCTCAGAAGAGGAAATACCAAGTGTAGGGAGAGAAGTGTGGTGGGACTTGGGAGTAGTGCTCTGGGGGATGTGTTGTGTCAGAAGAGAAGTGAAGCTACAAAGGAAAATAAGCTTTGAGAATCAATCCTTGAATGCCAACCAAGATAGGTCCTGCTCTGGGCTCGGGAGTCACTGTGGGTCCCTGTTTTCAGAAGTGCCTGCTGTTCTCCAAGCAGTTCATGCACCAGGGCAACGTGGTTGAGACCACCCGGTAAGTGCAAGGGCTGGGGCTTAGCTCCTGGGGTAGGGAGCAGAAAATGCACCATTATGCTGGTGTACCCATCCCCATTAGATTTGAGAAGCTTGCTCAAGACTGCAAGAAACAGCTGGAGATACTGCAGCTGGCCCAGGCTCAGGGCCTCGACCCTCCCAGCCACCACTTTGAGTTGAAGACATTCCAGACTGTGAGGTACCAAGGCCTAGGGAAACAGGGGCTCCAGGCAGGGAGGGGCAGGAGGCTGGGAGCCCAGGCCAGAGACTTATACCCCTTTAGTGAGGCTTCCTAAGCCTGGCCCTACCTCTTGTGGGCACTGGGGCTGCCGAGGAGTAGGGCAAGGTGCCTGCCAGTGAAGAGCGCACAGCTGTCTGGGTGCTATTTAAAGAGCTCTGGACCAGAAGTCACGAGACCAAGGTTTGCATACCAGCTCTGGCTTCCCTCCCTGGGCCCATGCCCCTTCTGTCACCACCCACCTGGGCAGACAGGCCCTGGAAGTAGGGACCTTGTTCCACCACTGTCCTTCACTTTGAGCATGTCCTCCTTTCCTCTTGGCTCTAGGATCTTCTCAGAACTCAACAGCACAGAAATGCATCTGATCATTGTCCGGGGAATGAACCTACCAGCCCCTCCAGGTAACCCAAGGGCTGCTCCTACTCCAGGAGGCTCTTGCCCGGACACTCCACCCCAAGTGCTAGGCTCCTGACCACTCCCTCTGATGCTACTCCCTTTTCTCCTTCCCAGGGGTGACTCCTGATGACCTGGATGCTTTTGTGCGGTTTGAGTTTCACTACCCTAACTCGGTGAGGTTCAGGTAGAAGTAGATGCTCTGAAACCCACGTTACGTTCCAGGACCCTGTGCTTTCTTCCCATCCCTGGGAGGCCTGGCTGCAGTGCCTGCCCTGTGTGCCTCTGTGTTTATTCACTGTCCTGACTTCTCTCTCCTCACTGCTTAGGAGCAGGCTCAAAAAAGCAAAACAGCTGTGGTGAAGAACACAAACTCTCCAGGTGAGGGCCACACGCGGATCTCTTCCTCCTCCCTCTCAAAGTATGTGGGCAGCACTGGTGTTTCCAGAACGGGTTCCCTTCTGTGCCCTTACTTGATCCACCCCACTTGGGAGTTAAAGGTGCTATTAACATGCCTCTTGTGTTGTTGGAGAAACATGCAGAGGTACAGGGACTTGCCTGGGGCCTCATGGCAAGGAGGTGGTAGAAATGGTACATGAACCCAGGAATTCTGTATCCCAATTCCAAGTCTTTCCTACTTTGTTATAATCTATGCTTAAAAAGAGTAATTAAAAAAAAAAAAACAAAAAACCTCACTTCCAAGGCCAGGACCTCAATGGTCTACCACCCTTTGGAGGTAGTCACCCCGAACTTCAGGGCCTCTATTTCTACTTCCTCGTGAAATCCCAATAGCCAAGCTCCTCCTTGCTTTCTCCCACTTTTCCAGAATTTGATCAACTCTTCAAACTAAACATCAACCGAAACCACCGGAGCTTCAAGAGGGTGATCCAGAGCAAAGGCATCAAGTTTGAGATCTTCCACAAGGGGTGAGGCTCCCATGGGTCACACTGCCACACGGGCCGGGAGGAGGGAAGAGCATTTGTGACTGCTGCCCCTGTATAAGCTCAGCCAGCACGTCTCTGCCTTCCCTGCCCAGTCCAATCCCCTGCTGCCTCTTGGCTCCCCAGGTCCTTCTTCAGAAGCGACAAGCTGGTTGGCACAGCACACCTGAAACTGGAGCGGCTGGAGAATGAGTGTGAGATCAGAGAAATTGTGGAGGTAGGGCCTGGGGTGTGGGCAAGCCAAAGAGCTTGGTACGAGAAGAGCCAGTATGCACTGAACACCACACGTGTTGTAGGTTTTTGTGCTCATTACTTAATTTGAAATTCTTCACAAGTTTGCTTAGAGTAGGTGGAATCCTCATTTCACAGATGGAGAGGTTCAGAAGGTCTGAGAAATTTCTAGAGGGACCCAACAGAAGGCAGCCTCCTTAAGTTTCCATGAACTGAAGGATTCCACAGGCAAGGACTATACAAGCTTGCCACTGACAAATGAGGAAACTCAGGTCTGAGAGGAAAGGGGGTTCTGTAAGCTCAAATGGTCTATCCTTGGCAGAGCCACGACCAGCCCTTTACTGATGGACGTTTCCCACTGCAGCACACCTGCCCCCACTGCCTGGATGACTTGTTCTTATGTGGGCCGTGGTCTCTATTAGAGCCACTGAGAGTGGTTGGACTTCTTGGGCCTATTGTACTGCTTTGCATCCTACCTGCCCCATCTTCTGCCCAGGAGGAGGAGTATTGTGTTGAATGGGAAGGAACCCTGGGCATGGGGCTCTAGTGCTGACTCTGCCAGCGTCATCTACTTCTCTTTTGGCCATCTGTGAAGTGAGGGTTTGGGGTCAGTGGAAGGCGGCTTTCTTCAAGCCAGTGTTTCTTCCAGAAGTTGCTGTGGGGATTGAGGAGAAAATGAAGTGAACAGAGCTCTAGGATGCCTGTCTAGATTATTTTTTATTTTTTAAAATAAGACTTACCTAAAACCACCACCTCCTCCTCCAAACACTGGGAGGATAGGGTTGTCAGGAATGGAGACTGTTGTGTTCACACCACGGGACATCTTAGCTCCTCTCACATCTTTCCTGGGAATGTAGGGACCAGCCTCTCCCCGTTCTGTGTCCCCTTAGTTACCATCTCCCTCTCTGTGGTTCTCACAGGTCCTAGATGGAAGGAAGCCCACCGGGGGAAAGCTGGAGGTGAAGGTGAGGCTGCGGGAGCCTCTGAGTGGCCAGGACATGCAGACGGTCACTGAGAACTGGCTGGTCCTGGATCCCAGGGGCTTGTGAGGTGGGCAGCTCTCTGGGCCTCCAGAACCTTTGCCCCCTTTTACTCCGTATCTTCAACTGGTATCTGAAAAGAAAACCTAGGAGTTTCTCATCTTTGAGAAAGACCAAGAGGCCAAACTGTTAGGGCTTAATGGGCTGAGTTTCTGATGTTCCTCAGTACAACTGGGAAGAGAAGGTAACCTTCCAAGGTTTAGCTGTCGTCAGGAAACCTTTCTAAAATCTTCACGTCTTCACTACAGTTTAGACTGACTTCCTGTGCTTTGCACCCCTGTATAGCCGATGGTGAGCACCAGGAGAGAAGTCAGGCCGCGACTGTGGAGGAGTTGACTTTCCCAGCTTTGCTGGCTTCAGAAGCTTTTGTACATAAGAGAGATGCTGCTACCCAAGCACCAAAGACCTGTTAAGCATGTGCACTACTGACCACGACCCTGGTCTTTCCTGTTATTGGCCCCTCTCGGGCTTCTACAGAAAGAGGCTGGGTTTCCAGGCACCCATCTCCCCTCTGTCTCCCCCTGCCCCCAGTCTGGATGAGGGCAAGGACACCTTTGTTGCTGTATGCCATGGAGTCCTGCAGCCCCTTAATTCCTGCGTGGCAATTGTGTGCAGCTTACATCTGCCTCCAGTTGCGCCATTTCTAGATGTGCCTTTAAAAGATATAACTGGGATGGGAGAACTTGAGGATGATTGGGAACCTCCCCTGAGGGTGGGGTCAGGGTTCCATGACTCCTGTGGGCCAGTGCTAGCCTGTCCCAGACACCTCTGTTGCCCCAGCTCTGCGTGTGCCTTTGTCCCTGACAGCTGCTGCGCCAGCCTTCCTGCTTCCCTAAGGACTTAGTGGGGGAGGAAAGTTGTTTTTGGTACTACTTGGTGGGAAGTAAGGGGAAGGTTGGATCTTGGGTTTGGTCCACCCAAGAAAAAAGACTGTTAACTGGAAGGAAAATATATACATATAATTTTATGTAGCCATTTTTATTTATTTAGGAAACTAAATCTAATTCATTGTAGGGATTTTATACTCAACTACACAGAATATCCATCAAAGTCCTGCTCCCTGTCACTTTTTAAAAGCTAGGGTAGCAGTAACGTGACAAACTGCTGCTACCTTCCTCTTGAGAGGGCAGGGAAAGCCTTTCCTCTTCAGCTCGTTACCTGGAGGACTTAGTTTTTTCTAAGAAATTCTCCTTTGGCTTTGTTTTTCTGAATGGATGGAGACTATGAAGGGGTTTGTAGTGGTAATAGATTTAATATTCAAAACTGAAATATTCCACATTTCTTAGAAATACCCCATCTTTCCCAACACCCTTTTTGAAGCATTAATTCAAGATCAACAAAGCATTCCTCAAGATCACCTTTAAAAAAGGTTGAAGCAAATACATTCAGCTTACTGATCACTAGAGTATTGCATAAACACAGCTCAAGAATTGAGCCTTGGTGTGTGTGTGTCGTTTTGGGCCATAACAGGGCTGGATCATGCTTCCCTGCCCTTAAAAGGAAAGATTTTAGTGGGTCACATAGTGGGAACTACACACAAGTGACTTTTTTCCCCAGGATACCTCTGGCCAATCTTATCAGAAGTGAGCTACCAAAACTTCAACAGATGTGAGATATAATTTAATACTTAATTCCAGTCACCTGTGTGAGAGACAGCAAATCATTTCAATCTAAAATGAAAAGGGGGACAGTCAGCCTTCATTAGATGACCCATAGAGCAAAGAAAGGTGGCTGGAAGGGTTCCTGACCCAACCTACTCCCCTTAGGGTGTGCATCCAACCAGTGCTTCCTAAGAGGGTTAGGGAACACTGTGGTTATCCTCCAAAGTTCCAGACAGCCCTAGCAGTTTCTAAATTCAGGCCTCTGCTGGAAATGGCCTATTTTAATAGATAGGAAGGTTTCTATGGATCCAAAGATTTCTCCTTTGCAACCCATTCAATTCCAGTCTGCTTCTTTGCAAAACAGAACCTCCAGGCTGAGAAGGCAAAACAAAGCCTCCCACTACCCTTGGAGACTGAGGTTCTTAAAAGGCCTTTATTGTAGCCAAAGGCATGCATGGGTCACTGGTAGTGGGAGGAGCCTGTCCCAGCCTCACCTTATCTTGAGATTTATCCACATACAGTAATCAGGCCTGATGGGGTGGCTCATGCCTGTAATCCCAACACTTTGGGAGGCTGAGGCGGGTGGATCACCTGAGGTCAGGAATTCAAGACCAGCCTGGCCAACATGGTAAAACCCCATCTCCACTAAAAGTAAAAAAATTATCTGGGCATGGTAGTGGGCACCTGTAATGCCAGTACTAGGGAGGCTGAGACAAGAACCGCTTGAGCCCACAAAACAGGTTGCAGTGAGCTAAGATTGCACCACTACACTCCAGCCTGGATGACAGACCAAGACTCGGTCTCAAACAAAAAAGCACAAATAGAGTAACCAAACATTGTAGGTTAGTAACTCACCTGCAGTTGGGAGCCAGCTACAACCCCAATCATTTTAAAATTTTCAGTTCTTTGATATCATGCAATGCACACTTTCTTCTGTATTATCGAACTGAATAAACTATTAAATTTTCTTAGTAAGTCTTGCTTACAATTAAAAGGCAAATTCAGTAAGTCTTGCTTACAATTAAAAGGCAAATTCCTGTGACTTGAACATTTTTTCTTTCTCATAGCACCATTTTGAAATCTGCATTATTGCTTCCGAATTTTGAAGGCTTGTTTTCCAAATATTTGTGGGCAGCTCCTAAAACTTTGCCCCTTAAGTATGGGCAGCTGCTTTCAGGATGAAACCAAGCGACTTAAGACTGGCAGATCCTGGGAGCTTGCACCTGATTCGGTTCCACAGATGGATTCATTTCTTCTCTGCCTCAGCTCCCCAGGCTCTAAAATGGCATTTCTCTCCTTAGCTCTTCTGACTACATACGATCCCTGAATTTCCACTGCCATTATTATTATTTTAGCATTATAAAAACAGAAACCAGCCAGGCACAGTGACTTGTGCCTATAATCCCAGCATTCTGGGAGGCCAAACTGGGTGGATCACCTGAGGACAGGATTTCAAGACCAGACTGACCAATATGGTGAATCCCCATCTCTACTAAAAATAAAAAATTAGCCAGGTGTGGTGGCACGCTCCTGTAATCCCAGATACTGTGGAAGCTGAAGCCAGAGAATTGCTTGAACCTGGAAGGTGGAGACTGCAGTGAGCTGAGATCTCACCACTGCATTCCATCCTGGGCAACAAGAATAAAACTCCATCTCAAAAAAAGAAAAGAAACATCATTACAAACTTACTAATCCCAGAAACAGTGTTCAGCAGACTGACTGTTGTTTGAAATGCGTTAAATGCTAAATTATTTCACAGGTGACCAGTTATCTAGAAGTAAATTTAACTGAAAATCTTGGGCTCACCAGTGTTCAGGAACCACTGTGGCTGGGAGAAGACAAGACATGGGAACTTACAGAGGCAAAATTTCAAATCTGTAGCCCAAGAGTCCAGTAGTTCCTCAGAAGATGTTGATAAAAAGGCTGGGAACAGTGGCTCATGCCTGTAATCCCAGCACTTTGGGAGGCGGAGACGGGCAGATGACCTGAGGTCGAGAGTTCATGACCAGCCTGACCAACAGGGAGAAAGCCCATCTCTACTAAACCCCATCTCTACTAAAAATACAAAAAAAATTAGCCAGGTGTAGTGGTGCATGCCTATAATCCCAGCTACTCGGAAGGCTGAGACAAGAGAATTGCTTGAACCCAGGAGGCAAAGGTTGTGAGCTGAGACTGTGCCATTGCACTCCAGCATGGGCAACAAGAGCAAAACTCTGTCTCAAAAAAATAATAAGATGTTGATAAACATACATTGCCTAGCATTTGGTAAGCATTTAATAATTTTTTAAAATTTAATAAATTACCAGAATGGCAATTCTATTCCTCTTCAGTATAGAAGAATCGCTGTACTGTATCTCAGTCCTTAAGTTTAAAATCCAGAAAATTTGCCTGTTTCAAAATGTGATGGTTCCGCCTCTTGCTTTATATAATAATTCCTACAATATACACTGTAGAAAAGCAAACATAAACAAGGAAGACAGTTAACTAGTATTGGCTGGCTTATGCCCAATTTCACAAATGATTTTACGCAACAGAGGACATTTGATGCAGGAGAGAAAGGATTTGAGGGCCAGAGTTTGTCCTTAGTCGGAGAATTCAAAAGCTTGCACTGATCCAGAAGAAATAAGTACAATGGCAAGCAGGAAGAAAGGTAAACCACAGGAAAACAGGACCAGTCCCTGTAGAAGTTCCAAACTTCTGAGATATGTTCAGACAAAGCCTGCTATTAGGCCAAAAATCACCTGCCCCTGTTAACAAGAGCTTCTTGTTCTTGTCAGGTTTGGAGGTAGCAGTCCCAGGGCTTGGTCCTGACAAGCTGCTGCTCTGTAGGCTAAGCTTTCCCTTAGAAGCTCTGAGTACCTCTGAACCTATGGGAAAGGTCGCAATCAGAGTTCTGTGCAGCCATCATCGGTAAAATCTTTGGAGAGGCAGATGTCAAGTATAAGCTCCCACCTCAGAGCAGGATGAACCTACCCAGACATTTCCCAGGCCAGAGCTGTTTTCTCTAGAAAACAGCTGCTGCCAAAAACAGCTCCACAGCCTGCAGTCGCCTCCTGCTAAACCCACCTCTAGCCACTAGGGAGCAGCCTGTCACTGTCCCAGAGGCCTGTGCTAGTTTCCGGGGAATTCTTGGAGTTGTACTAATACTGCAGAAAAACTCGTTATTTTAGCCTTGGCTTTCAGAAGGTGCCAGTGACAATGGAGTATGTTGCCCTGGAGCAGTATTTTCAAGACATGCGCTGTGGAATTCATTTGGTCTAAGACCAAAATAAATATTTAATAAAGCAGAAAAAGGTCAGAGTACATCACACATATCATGGATAAACCAGATTTTGGTTTCTAATACCACTCCCATTAAAAGAAAGCCAGGGTTCCTTGCAGAAATGGCTGATTCCGGGGCTAGAGCAGGCTAAGCACAAGATAAGCCTGAAGCATCTTGTTAGGCTAGAAAAAAAAAAAAAGAAGTGCTCAGAAAAATAATAATAGCATGTCACCAGGATAGAGGAGCCAGCTTAACGGGTTTCTTGCCTGACTAAAGCTAAGACAATTTGTGCACCAAAATAATCAACTGGAACCACTGAAAAAGGCCAGGCTTGGTGGCTCGTGCCTGTAATCCCAGCACTTTGGGAGGTCAAGGCAGGCAGACTGCTTGAGCCCACAAGTTTGAGGCTACAGTGAGCTCTGATTGTGCCACTGCACTCTAGCATGGGTGACAAAGACTGTCTGAAAAAAAAAAAATCCATGTATGTATAATGAAAATTAAATGAATATTGCTTATAGCCATTACTGGGGAAAAAAATAAATTGGGAAGGAGGGGGCTTTTGCTTATAGTATATTACCAAATGCAAACTGTAAAGCTGGAGAAAGCGCTAGAATTGCAAAATCATTTTGCAAACATCAGAGTTAAAGATCAGTGCAGGGACATTTTCATGGGCAAGATTATTTGCATGGTCTGAAAGTGTACCTATACTGGTTTTACATTCCAGGTGGGGAGAAATACAGAGACACTGGACAATACCTTGACCAAGTGATCAAAATTTACCACTGTCAATGAGGGGGCAAATGGATATCAAGTCATTCTGGCAAAAATGCATACACTAATTCTAAATATGAGGAAACATCAAACTCAAAATGAGTTTTCTGTTAAAAAACAGAGGGCGGAACACTTGAGGTCAGGAGTTTGAAACCAGCCTGGCCAACATGGTGAAATCCTGTCTCTATTTAAAATACAAGATAATTACCTGGGGGTGGGGGTAGCACCTGTAATCCCAGCTACTCAGGAGGCTGAGGCAGCAGAATCACCTGAACCTGGGAGCCGGAGGTTGCAGTGAGCAGAGATCACACCACTGCATTCCAGCCTGGGCGACAGA